TGCACCACCTCACCACCTAGTACGAAAAGGAAGTTCCCAACAACACATACTCCCTGGTGCTGTAGCTTATTTGGCAGGGATGTCGAGAGCGGATGGAATTTCTTACTGTGAGGTTCGTAGGTTAGGATCTGATTCTGGGGCCTGTTTGCCTCTGGTCCTCCTCCCACCAGAAGAATCTTGCTCTTTGTGGCTCTTAGGCTGGTGTGGACACTTTGTAGTAGAGGCTGTAGGGGACCCTGAAAGTGGTAGTTAAGTGCTTTCTGCACTACACTGCGGACGAAGGGTGTACATAGAGCAGGTCTAAGTGCACTGAGTTGAGACAGCTCTTTAGGTGGAATCAAACCAAATCGGATCCGACTGAGCAATGCATTACTTTGCAAGGCAGATTGTGGGTTGCACTCTAGCCAGTCCAAAACCAGCTGCAGAAGGTCTATCTCCTTCACTCCCGGCATCTCCTCAGCTACGAGCACCTCTTGCAGAGAATCAATGTTTAACTCCATTAGCTCAGCCTTGTATTCCTCAGATGTAAGTATTCTGCACATGTTACTGCCAATAAAAGAGTTGCTGTCATCGAATGCTTCAGAAAGGCCGTAGCGAGCTGCTATGTTCGCAAAAAAGCAGCAGCTGTCAGGAGCAATGCTTTCGGAGATGTACCGAGTGCAAAGATCCACAGCATGGGTGATCTGTAGATAGCAGGCAGCCTGTAGTGTGACCTCCAAAGTGGAGGGTGACAGTGAGATCCATGAGGTGTAGATGAAGTCCAGTATCTGCTCTAGGCCCAGAGATGACAAGGCTGGCAAGCTGATAGTACGGGCACCGGATTCCAGAGTGTAGTCCTGAAACACGGACCAGAAGTAGTCGCTGGAACAGGCTAACAAACTGCGATGAGCAGGGAACTCCACACCTTCTGCCTCCAAAACAACATCACACATTCGACCCTCCAGACGCAAGCTCTGGTACCGAGACAAAACACCTTCTCCATGACTGTTGCTGAGCATCAGGTAGTAATTCATCACTAGGAGAGAAAGGGAGAGAGATAAGGGAGTCCAGGGAATTTAGGACTGAATGAAAGTAAGACAAAGCACAAAAGGAAGAGGAAAGAAAGAGAAGGTTAAGTCGACTTCCTCCTGCAAAAGTTGTCGAGATTAAAGAAGACAGAAGAAAATAAAAAGGTCAGTACACCATCCGCGTCTGTTGGGATGTGGTCCATGACTTCTGCTGGCATCAGATGCGTAAGTGCAAAGGGGAGGGTCAACCATTTCTCCTCCACCCAGTGGGCAGACAAACCTTTTGCCTCAACAAGATAGGCATGTGTTTTCTACCAGATCTCTAGAAGGGAGGGGATAATGATGGGCAGACATTTTGGGGCCACGGGGGGTAAACACAACTTCGAGCTAGTTGCCCTTTCCATTTAGCTAGATAGGAACACAGAGCGGGAGGGATCAGGCTGGGGGTTTATTATGATATGCAGATCTGAGGTCATCTCTTGATAAATAAGGGAGTTAGTCAGCACTGTGGATTTCTGTCTGTTGCCACCAGAAGTCATATCTCACCAAGGTGACAGGAATAGAAACTCAGTTGATCAGAGGGACAGTCAGGACACAGTCTATAGCCAGAAAAGAGAAATGAGAATGAAAATCTTGCCTAGAGGACAATGAGAACGACTGGAAGATTATTCAGTCAGGAAGACACAAAGACAAATAAATAAAGATTGTTTACAATCACTGAAGAGTGAGGTTGATTTATAGACTTGTGGTGTGTAAGTGTGATCCACAGAGAAAAGGACACATCCCAACCTCGTGAACATCATACCCTTCATCCTCCCTGAATAGCTGCTGGCTCAGAGCTGGGATAGGGCAGCATCAGGCTAGATTGCGGGGAGGGGGTATTAAACATAAGAGCGAGGGGTGATTATGATAGAGCTTTTGGTTACATTCTCACACCCTCTGCTCATGATCACACTGGTTTCTCCACTGTTTAGAGCATTTGCAATACAACACATCTACGAGGTAATTGGTAACTGGAGATGCTTGTGAATGCATTCGCACTCAAGTGCAACTGCAACGGGTCATGATGAATCATAGAGGGGCGTGCTTGTGTGTGTGCTACTTGTGTCTCAAGGAAGTGATTTTGTAGACTCCCTGTTTGTACTGCCAAATCCTGTGCTCACCTTACAACCCCTTTGGATTCTCGCTTTAAAACAACTAATTGGCCTTTTAGGGACCTTTACATGTCTTTCCACTCAAGCTCATTGTGCATCGGTGGATATATTTAAACGCACATTACAGCTTCAGGGCTCTAAATTAGATGCATTAGTTATGCTGCACTTTTTATATTTCGTCAACAAACCCAGACTCCACTTCATTGCATGCTTGAATATTTTTGCAGGATCATGCTCTCTTCTGTCACTACAAAATCTATATTTACTATTTATGATGAACAATTTCTCATCTGATGGGTGCATTTAATTGCAGATACAACTGATTTATGTGTTCAGTCACTTTCAGACTCTCTGGTCTCCCTGTTTTGACCCATCAGTCCAGAATGCTGTCAGACCTGAGTGGCGTTCTAAATATAACAGTGTCTGTTCTTCCTGTTAGGGGTTTTGTTTGGCTCTGGTGGTCATGGTGAACTATTTTGATATTATCTGGTGTACATAAGGCTTACAGGTGAGAAATTCCTTTGAATTAACACACACATTTTATAGATATACAATCTGAAATGTATAATGGAAAGCATATGGTAGCAGAGAAGACGACTGTATCAAGAAATCGATGGAAGTTTAGGAATTCTGAGCTTCTCGGTTAAAAAGTTTTAGAACTACAGGCTCTCTCTGCATTGCATTGTGGGTAATAAGGGAATTATGAAGGCTTTGTTGATTAGTTAGACCAGTGTTTCCCAACCGGGGTGCCGCGGAACCCTGTCGAGAGCAGGGGTGCCGTGTAAAAGATCCTTTTTTTTAATATTTTTAAATTGCTAAAATGTTCAAAAAAGCATATATTATATAATATCCATTTCTGATGTCGCCAATAATTAGAGATGCACCGAAATTTCGGCTGCCGAAAATTAGTTCACCGCTCAGGTTTCACTTTCACGTGGTGTGACGCTCTGCGTATTATCCCGCTCTATGCGTGTGCGCTCCGCTCAGTCGCTCCACTCATATACCGTTCATGCTCATCTCAAAATAACACATTGTCAATATTTTTTGAGACCCCCCAAAATTTCACAAATCACGTTTTCAGGGGAGCCCATGTCTTATTAAGGGGAGCCGAGCTCCCCCTAGCTCCCCCGTAGTTCGCACCCTGGGTATATGGGCAACTCTGGTAACACTGCCCTCTCATTCATGGGTCTTCATGGGTCTGCTAACCGCTATGTTATGCTCACGTGTTCTGATAATAATAGCTTTCTAGGACTAAACATTATTTGGATAATTGGTAAAAAAAACAAAAATTTTTTTTTAAATATCTTAAACCTACTGTTAGACCTACCTGAAAAACTAAAAAGCTATTTATTTAATTCGAAGGCCTGTCGTTATTTTTTATTTGTGCTATCATTATTAATTTATTTATTTGTTCTTATTTTTTTACTGACTGCTTACTTGTCATTTTTTATTCAATTCCAAGTTTGAAAGCAAGCTGTCTCGTGCTACTGCACCAAAATTACCCCACTGTAAAATTAAAAAACCACTGAGTGAGCAAACATTTGTGAGATAGCTAGTTATAATGGTAATTAAATAATGTTTACATATGTATAAAAGCCTACATTAAAATCTGTCATAGAAATTGATCTCTTCATTAGAAATGAGCCTACTGATTGGACACATTTTTTTAATAATATTAAAAATATCTGTATGACATTATATTCTGCAGTTCTTCCCTGTTGTACCGAATATCTATATTTTTCAAATTATCATATCGAAGTCAGAAATTCAAATATTGTGACAAAATTAATTTTGTAGGGTGCCACAAGTTTGTTAAAATTTCCAAAGGGTGCCGCGACTAAAAAAAGGTTGGGAAACACTGAGTTAGACAGCTGCTCACTCTCTCTGTGTTCCAGGCACCACTGCCAGATGCTTAATCCAAAAAAAATTCCATTCCAATTTCACATGATTGATAGGTCCTGTTATATCAGTGTACTCACAGTCTCTCATTCAACCATGAGATGCATCCTGGGAAGCTTTTCCAACAGGTTTGAATGTATTTCAATGTACACTGGACACTTGTTGGTTGCTTGTCTTTCACTTCATGATCCAATTCACAGCATACATTGTTTCAAAGCACCCTTACAGAAAATAGAGCCTTACAAATGAAATAATGTAGACAATTTATCTGAATTATATATGCATGTGTTTCCCAGCTCTCAATGCAGACTGACACTGAGGAGCAATACATGACATGATCTTTAATAAGGACACTTTCACTCAAAGGTCATGACACCTGCTGCTAGTAAACTAGATCATAGAGCAGTACAGACACATATGATGTGATTTACAAGTGAGGAGACAAGCAGCTTTACACTGTTAAACTGATCCCAGTTTATGTACATAAACCGATGGTGCGGCATTTGAAATCCAGTTCTATTTGTTCAAGGATAACAAGTGCTGGCTTCCTCCTACGGGTTTGCTCTTGGAGAGAACGTGAAATCATGTTTTATTATGCAACAGCCTACTTATGTACTGCAACACAAGAACAAAGCCATAGATAAAGAAAGAGATGTGTAGGGAGTGAAAACAAGCCTGCAGCATGAGGCGTTTTAAGTAGGGCTGTCAATCGGAAGAAACTTAATCAAATTAAATGCATGACATTCTGACTAATTAATCAAATTTATAGCAATTATTTGCATATTAATCTTCTAGACGTAAAATACATTAAAAGAAAATTGATTTTATGGTGTCACATTTGTTCGAGATGTTTTAAGACACAATCTGGCTTTTTTAAAGGAGAATGGAGGAATTTTAAGATGAATCATACTAGCTAATGTCTTCAGTCTCATATATTCTGTTTTATGATTAATTGATGGTAGTAGGAGAATACAGAACATCTATAAAATCAAACTTTAAAGGGATAGTTTACTCGTGAGGGTGAGTAAATGATGACAGAATATGCATTTTTGGGTGAACTATCCCTTTAAGTTAAACATAGTACATTTTAAAACAAAATACAGAATAGCATACAGGGAGGTTTAAAAAGTGGTGACCTATTTTAGACGGACTAAACCCTGGTTCAGAGCTTCGAGTTGCTCAATTCCCATCAGTCTTTGCTCTGATAGAATCCACCCCCTCAATTATTCTCGGGTCAGTAGGTAGTGTCATCATTAAGGCTTGTCGTTGATTCCTTTGCGACCGGTTCTCTGGGAGTTGTGGTAAATACATTAACCTGATTGGATGGAGATAGTAACCAAAGCCTTGGATAAAATGGGGGTGGAGTCACCTGTGAAAATGAAAAGAATTAGTTAAATGGGTTCACTGGCATTAAAAACGTGTAATCTCAAGGTAGTTTGCTTAGCAAATTCTGTTTGTATTTCTGCGGAGTGGGTCACAGAGCATGTTTTGCTCTATAATTGGGAGGTCTGGTGAGGCATGCTGGGACTGCACACAACAGACAGACTTTCACTGCCCCACTGATCTGTGGGGTATTTATAGAGCCTGATTCATGCTCATACCCCTTTACACACTCCAGCACTGACATATGCACACTAACACACGTGCAAACTACTTTTACAGCTACTGACACCATGTGGTCATTTGTGTGAACAGCATGGAGCCTTTCTAGATGATTTCAGTGATGTGTCGCATTTAGAAAAATGATTGCTCTTTTGTTCCTGCTCCTATTTGTGTGTGTGTGTACATAAGATTGACAACCACCAAGTTTTTTGACTAACCAAAAATGGTAGATGGGAAAAAATGGGTGTGAGAGTGTGTATTTGACTGTCAGATTTACCTGTGTTGTTTAGTCCTTGGTGACCCATCTGAGTTCACTCTTTACATTCTGGAGCTCGGAAAGGTCGACGGCGGGGCCCGGTAGTTTCACAGCACCAGGCAGGGCCTTTTTCTCCTCTGGAGTCACTGGGGATGCCTATGAAACCAATTGTGAGAGATGTTACTGAGTGGCCCTCACAAAATCTCTCAAGAATGTGTCATATTTTACTCACAAAATAAAAAGAAGGAATAAACTTAATTTTAAATAAATAAAATTAACAAATGAAAATAAAGCTTATTTCAGGAGCACAGTGTGATGTCAATATTGTTTTCTGACATTTTATGATTTGCCCATTAATTCTTATTTAAAAAAAATTTTAAGTTCTGTTTTCTTGTGATTAAAAAACTATCGTAAAGCAGATCTAAGCATATTTCTTATTACTAAATATAAGAAAAGCATATTTAAATAGTTTATAGTACTTGTCATTTAAATAAACATTGTAAAAATTGTCCACACATTACATCAATTAACACATTAATAACAATGTACAACATCTGTCTGTTGCTATTTAGTAATAAAAAAATCTTTCTTTCTTTCTTTCTTTCTTTCCAACTTCATTACTTTTCATTACTGTGTGCAAAAAGTGTGTATTAAAATTGTTTATTAGTAGGCTACTAAATGATAGTAATTATGTTGATCATGTTGATTTTAATGCATCACATTAATAATATTCTAATGAGAATCATTATTAGGAATAATGTAGATCTGATAAATAATATCAATTCTATTACAGAATTGGATATGTTCATATTGAAAAATTTGATAAATAAATAAATATATGTGTGTGTGTGTGTGTGTGTGTGATTGAAAAAAAGAAAATTTAAATGGTACAAAAATAAGCTAGCTTATATATATATATATTTTTTTTTTTTTTTACTTACATTTAAATGTGATCTGGTTACATGATTACCATTGTCTCTATGTGTGTCTAATTTGCTTATTTATAAAATGGTGTAAATTTGTGTATGTGAGCTTTCTTCCAGCAGAGTCTGACCTCCTCTGCATCTACTGTATCTTCTCTCCTCTTCACAGGATGTCCCGCCCCAGGACGCAGAGCCCCCATCGGAATATTAAGGTTGGCCTTCGAGACAGACAAGAAAATCCAATGAGACGGTTACCATCGCTGCTACACCTCACAGAGCGCTGAGGTGAAACCACCCCTGACACTGCTCGTTTCCTCCTGCAACCGCGCCTATAATCCAATCACCACAGTACCAAAGTCATTTAAGCTCACGTAATATTGTGCAATGGTCAAGCGTAGTTGTCGAAACCAAACCTTTCCACAAAACCTGCTGGACGTGTCTTCCTGCTGGAGTTTGTATTTCATAAAGAGCAAAGTGCCTGTATGAAAATGAGCTGCGGGCAACACAGATAAAACAGTGAGATGACAGACATCCTTCTGTTTGCTGAGGCCCGACGCAGACAGCCTGTCTTTTTTAGTCTTTATTATGTGGCATCTAAACGCAGCATGTATTACAAAAACAAAGTCCAAATGTGAAAATGTAGGCTTAATGTGTTTACAGCTTTACATTAGAAGGAAAGTATATGGATTGTTGCTACATCTCTTCTCTTATATATTACTATTTTCTCAACCATCCTATCATTTTGGTGAATCTCATGAAAGCAGGTCACGTTTTACCCCCAAATCAAAAGAAAAGAAATTATATTTTGCAAAAGTAGAATTATTTTAATTTCCCCTAAAGCAGGAGTGCCCAAACTCGGTCCTGGAGGGCCGGTGTCCTGCAGAGTTTAGCTCCAACCCCAATTAAACACACCTGAACCAGCTAATCAAGCTCTTATAGGCAGAGGCGTTTTAGGAGGGTGTGGACCAGTCTTAACTTTTATAAAGAATATCTCTTTGGGTGTGAGACGTTAGTCTTTGCAACTTTAGGGATCTTATCTATTCATGAACAGCTTGTAACACTCCAAAGAGAAAGTAAAACTTGAAATCGCATCATATGACCCCTTTAATACTGTTATCCAACTGTTTTATTTATTAAATAATTATATTTTGTTTATTAAATGTAATACTAATTATAAATATAAAATAATATACTCTAAATATAAATATATAATATGAAATATATTTTCAGCGAAAAGAAAAGAGAATGGTAATTTTTTTGCATTGTGGTAATGAAAATTTGGAGGGGAAAATGTTTAATTATAATAAAAAATTATCTGCAAAATTGGCTTTTTATTTAATTCTTTTTTAATGTCCATGTTAATCCGCAAACACTTGTTCTTATCTCTTCTGTTCTGCCTCTTTTTATAAATTATTGTCCTGTTCTTGGACACACTAGGTCAAACACTCAATTTACAATTTTGCAATTTAGTGTTTCGATTAGAGCATGTGACATCTCTCAACCAATCCCGAACGCTCTTAAGGATTTGACTTTACTCCAGTTTTGCATGTATTTCATGGTCCAGTACATCAAACCCTTGAGTTTCTTCTCTTTTTCACTCTATTTCCTTCTTTCATTTCTCTGGCTTTCCATCTGTATAGGCTGCTGGATGAAATCTGATTGTTGGCTGTTTTAGGCTGTACAGTAGTGACCATGTGCTCCTGTCTTTGCATGCATGACCAGTCTTCCTTCTGTCTGTGCTCTCTGATGGACCGTATCCTGAATCTTGTGTATGCTTGGGCTTTTTATGGATTCATGTGTATATGGAGAGTTTTTATGGAAAGATGAAGGTGTCTATTTTTGGCTGAAGTGTTCAGTGTTTGTAAAAATTGTTCTCTACACTGTGGTGAACTGTTGAAAATCTTTCTTTCTGTCTACGTTATTGCTCCTAGCCAGACGTATAGTTACAGGGGGGAAAAGTATGTGAACCTTTTGGATTTATGCATAAATGAGTCATAACGTGATCTGATCTTCACCTATGTCACCTCAATATACAAACAAAAAAAGTATACATTTTCATGTCTTTTTTTGAACACAAAGGAATGTTTTATGGAGGTTTACGCTGCCAAAGGACATTTAACCAGATATTAAAACATACTTTCACATACTTTTGCCAGTGTGTAAAATAAAAATATGAAAACATATCATTTTTTGCGGTTATTTGTTTAAGCAGACTTCAAATTCAGATCACATTTTCACCAATTTATGCAAAACCACAGGTTTTCCCTTCAACTGTATACCGGTTAGCCATAGGAAAACGGCTGTAAGGATTTTAATTCAAGTGTACAAGTCTATTTTTATATAAATTGTTTCTGTTTGGATAAGAAATGTTTTCCTACCAAGAAGAAAAAGCTGGACACACATCAACACCATAATGTATTTCATGTACTTGTGAATGGCCTTGTGTGAGTACTGTAATGCAATGTACATTGAAATGTGTTTTTACTCAGTGTTCAAAATAGGGAACTGTCTTTTCAGATTAAAATATTTAATGTTGACATGTTTGAGTGTTTTTGAGCAAAGAAAAGCACACTGGGAACCATTTGAGTGCCAATAAAATCAATACAGAAGTTTAAAACTCACACTGTACACTATTCTTAAATTACATACGAATAAAAAACACACAATACTCACCTGCAGGGCTTTTACATTGGACGACGGCTGTTTAGACATTCTGTGCAGTTGTGTATAATATATATTTGAGAATGAATTATCAAATATATATATATATTTGTATATTTATACATATAAATATACTCAGTACACACACACATAATGGGGGGGGGTGTACAGCATTTTATTGGTATTATTCTATAAAACTAATGGGGACATGCAATGCCTTGTGTGAGTACTGTAATGCAATGTACATTGAAATGTGTTTTTACTCAGTGTTCAAAATAGGGAACTGGCTTTTCAGATTAAAATATTTAATGTTGACATGTTTGAGTGTTTTTGAGCAAAGAAAAGCACACTGGGAACCATTTGAGTGCCAATAAAATCAATACAGAAGTTTAAAACTCACACTGTACACTATTCTTAAATTACATACGAATAAAAAACACACAATACTCACCTGCAGGGCTTTTACATTGGACGACGGCTGTTTAGACATTCTGTGCAGTTGTGTCCACGTTCCTGCTGTAGAAAAGACAGAAAGAGACCGAATGCATTGATCAGATGGGCAGAGCGGCCTGGTGTGGGTTTGAATGCATGTATTTCGTCTGCAGCGATGTGTATGTATGTTACAGAGAGCCGGGGAAAAGTAAAGCCCCCTGCGGCTCTCAGGTGCCCGTGGATAGTCTTTCAGTTGCTTAGTGACTCCTGCAGTGAGGAGCAGGTAGCAGCTCTTACCCCTGAATCATTTATGTTAACATGGAGAGAACAGGGCTGGGATAACACACACCTACACACTCTTTATACTGGATATGAAACATAAAGTGGAATGTCTACTGATATTGTAAATGAATAAATAGCTGCTCATTAATACCTCAGAGAGACTTGAAAGTGAAAAAAATCAGATATGCTTCATTGAAATAGGAATTTGGTCTCAGATGATTCTCCAAACATGTTATAAGATAAATTCAAAGAGAAACAATTAGAGTTTGTACTGAACTTTCATATTTTGGTGTATCTAAGCTTAGTTGGTGACGGTTCAGATCATTTTCTTAAAAACAAGATTACTGTATTTTTTTTCTTAAGAGAACTATTATAAAAAAAGAATACAGGTTTAAGCTAAAGTCTTCATTGGGTCTCATTCCTGTCTAGAAGAAAGCCACTGCTATAATTTCACTCATTCATTAATTAATGAATAAATAAATAAATATTCAGATTAATAGTTCAGTTATAGACTCACAAAGTAGCCTCAATGGATATTTATCATTGCCATCATTATTAATAATCAATGAATATTTATCATATGCATTATCAGTATCAGTTTTAGTATCATTTGAACATTATGGGATTTATGGTCTGCAAAAAAAAAAAAAATTAAGCCTTATTTTGAAAAATCAGAAATAATATCAAATTCTGTATTTTAAAAAAAAAAGCAATTGGTATTATTCTATAAAACTAATGGGGACATGCAATGAGAAAGCAGCATTTCCTAAGAATGACCTGGAGGGAAATTTAAAAGTAGACATTTACATATTTGGCAACACAATCCAATGCGGAAACAAACACATTTCACCTTCACATTTCAAACAGAGGAGACTGCATGCTGAATGACTCGTTTTGTGTCTCTGACAGGAAGCTGTTCGGAAATATGTAAAATCATCCAGTGTCCTAATGAACACAGCTGTAGGCAGATGAGCTTTGATTATGTGCTCGCAGGGAGCTTTCTGCCTGTAATTTGCTCGGTTATGCTGCTGATGGAACGTCCTGCTGAGAACACCTGGGATATAAGAGGAATCCTCCTGAGTACTACAGCCAGCATGCATGGTAATGCATCTGCAATATTCATATCAAAACTTTCTGTCTTTCAACGTCTCCCACCTTTTTTAACTTAATACAGGTCTCGGTGGGGCAGCTAGGATTGGTAGGGTTCACAACCTTAGCGACCGTAACCAGGGATGTTGTTTGCACATCAACAGCAGTGCATGAGTACTAGTGGTGTGGAGTCACTGCTGCCGAGTGTTGAGCTAAATTTACCTTTCAAAGAGCAACAGAGCAGCTGTCCAACACTCCACCAAAATACCCTTCTAAAACTCCTCAATGTCCAAAATATCAGTCAAAGATTGAACTAAATGTCAGTATCTAAAAAAACATAACTAAAGCATAAAACTAGGACCAAATCACATGGCAAAAAACAAATGGTGTTTTAAGTTTCTAGATTTATTACCTTCCATCTCAAACTCTAAATTTAACCACCTACAGTATATCACAAACCCCACCAGATCCTGAAATCTCACACTGAATATTGCATCTTCAAAAACTCCCACAATGGTTTCACAGGCACAATTTATTTGCATTAAATTCCCACTATGACTGGAAGTCTCCCAGAAGTTCTATACCTTTCCAACCGGTCTGACAAGATTTTCTCTTTTATTAAAAAAAAAAAAGTGTATTTGATTTTCAAAACGTTCAGCAAAAGTTTGAATGGTTTGTTCATCAAATTCAGTGAATGTATTATTCGTAATAACTCTGTTTATTATGTAAATCATCAAACGTCATCACAATTCTATGTTTAGATGCGATCTGATTGTCCTGCGCCAAAACCACAAGACAGAAAAAAATATATCATTTACATGTGTATCATCACAGAATGCTAATGCTTATGTAAAAGTACAGTTACGGTTCATATTAAACCGGCCTGTTGTTTTAGAGTGAGTTATGTAGGCCCGAATCCTGCCAGAGGCCTGAGTCATTATCACAGAGTCCCACACAAACAAAACATATACATAAATCATTTGAAATTAGTAAGAATGAGTGCACTTTTAGAGGAAGCTAAAGGAAAGGTCAGTCTAAAAAGGTCAAATTTTGAAATGCTCTGATTTAAACAAATTTTATTTGTCTCATTATATCATCATAATACTATTTGGCATAATTTACCTAAAAGAAAAGCAGTCTAATGTATCTATTGTGACCTTAACACTGATATTTTCACACACATGCAGATGAACACACACACATACACATCCTCCCTCTGTCCTTAAAGTTGCATACCTGCTGGCGTAACAGTAAACCGCTGTTCCCCGCTATGAGACAGACAGGACAAATGTCAATCTTTCTCTCTCTCTTCTGTCTTTCCCTTAATGGACTAAAGTGGTCTTGACTTCTGTGGTCCGGTTCTGTTTCTGTTCAGCACCTTCTCTCTCTCACTCTTTCTGTCCCTCACTCCAGGCTGTAGAGGAGCAGGGGATTCCGCTCATATCTGGGATTTGTTCACACTATAAATAGTAGTGTGATACACAGAAGGGACCTGCTTTCTGTCCACCCTGACTGTTCACTTCACAGAAGCTATGATCATTCACAGTCCTGTTACTATATACACATGCAGTGGGGTCCAAACATCTGTAAAGTAAGAATCTGGGATTCAAATTGTAAAAAGTTTTGAATAAGAATATTAAAATGAATAAGAAATATTAAGCACTATTTCTATGTCAATTTTTTGACCCTGGTCAAGTGAATCCTTCATACAAATGTTAAGATATTTTTGCTTCCATTTAAACAAGATGGTCCGCGGATCATTTTCAAATCATGCTGAAAAACATGATTATTTATTTATATTAATAAAAATGATTAATTTATATTATTAAAAACTTGGCGATGATATTAATAATAATAATAATTAATAATATTTTATATACATAAAATGTTTATTTAATATTAATATAAGATTGAAATATGAAATACAGAATCTAATGATTAATAATAATAATAATAATAATAATAATAATAATATAAAATATTAGTTTTTTAATATCTGTCTATCTATCTAACACACACACATAAACATATATACATACATACATACAATAAACTTATTTCATATTATTTCATATTTATAATACATTTTATATTAGAATTATTTTATTTATTTAGTAGTAATATGAATACATTTGCCTAAAATAAATAATATACTGCATATATCATATATTATGTTATTCAATTATTTATAAAACAAGTTTATTTATATTATTAATAAATTAATTAGTAATTATATATGACAATATATGGAAAAATCTAAATATTACTGGTTTATATATATATCCTGTTTTTATATAAATTATATAAATAAATAAATAAACTTAGCCTAGTCATCTTAGACTTTTTGGACCTGACTCGATGTGCCCACCAGAAACACAGAATTACAACAGCATCGATTTAAAATGTAACATTTTAAATGGCATTTTTAAATTGCCACCAAGCTTGTGTACGATGCATATTTGCATATATGTATAAATGTGTGCTAAGTGGGTATATTTAGGAGACCTAGATCGAAATGTCCCCAATATGCCTGAACCTAAGAGAGAATGTACAAATTACAGCATTACTAGATCACATAATGAAAATGGAAGAAAACAGAGAGTTCAGAAAGAGTGACTGGTCATAGATGAATAGACTTTGACCTTTGCACGACACAGGACACTGATATCATGACCCCCCTGTGCCCTTACCTGTTCAGCTGCCAGCGTGAGGTCCACACCTCCTCACTGCTTTGTGTTCTACTATGATGGCCTGTCAAAAGCCCTGCCTGTACTCTGTAAGGTCCTCTCCTGCTCTCTTCCACGCAGTCAGAGAATCACAGTGCGACAATACTTATTAAGATCATGACCTAATTTAGGCTACAGCACGCAGAGCCCAGGGATACATCTGATTGGCCCACGGTTTGACATGACGACCCATTCCCAGCGGTAGCAGCACTGCCAGTTTATGGAGTTTCAGATCTTAAACTAGGCAGATTTTAACCCACAAGCGGGCAGGTATAAACAAACGATGGAACTTGCACATAATTTCACTGGTAAAGTAGATTTCTTAAACAGAACTTGGTGCTATAGCGACATCAAAATCATTGGGTTTGAGTGCATAGACTGGTATAATGTATACTTTGCTTCCACTTGCAAGGATAAAAGCATTTGCCAAATGCATAAATGTTAAACGTGATTGAGCCTAATGCACTAAACTAACTATTTGCAAGGCTAAATATCAAACTACAACCATAAAATGGAAAATTAAAGACTGTTAAAGCATCTTCTGTCCTTACCTGGTGCCACTAGTACTTGACGTGTGATCCTGCTCACTCAGTTCCTTCACTGCTGAGTATAAACCTCTACTGGAGCTCAGAGCTGATGGGGAAGGTGTCCTCTACAGACAGCAGAGCTATGCAAATCCTCACCTGAATTCTCCTCCCTCTACTTGCCATCACAAACTTCCTGCTCATCCTGCCACTCAGCACATATACTACAGGTCAAACACAAGTATTAAATCCTAGAATCCTTTTTAATGTGCATGTAACATTTACATGCAAAGATCCCATTACAGTGTGACTTGAAAGTGGCTAAGTGCATGGTTGGACAATGCAAATATTGTTGAATTTCATTAACAGGTCATAGAAGGTGAGTGGAATATTAGCAGCATGACACTGTCCTTTCAGTGTCTGTTGTCTATTTTACATTAATCCCTCCTTTTGGGCACATGGCATTATGAAACTAGCGGCATCCTCTCTTATGTATTCATAAAAGGCTGCCATAATTGCTGTCTATCTAGACCACCATCTCAGATATTAAATAATTTCATAATACCTTTAGGAGCCTGAGGGACAGAAAAGATCACTCCCACCCAGAAAGGCTTGGTTCCCGGACGGAAATGTTTGCAGGGACTTATCACACTTTTGAACCTGTCATTTGTTCCCATGTGCTTTACATTCAAAACCGCTGAACTTTTTCTTAAGTTTTGCTACAACAGTGGCCTTTAGTGGCAAATTGACCACCTTTTTGGTTGACTGCCATCATTTGCTTATAGGTCAACAGTAATACCTGATACGTCTTAATTAAATTGCATATTTAAAAGCAAGTCTTGTGAGTACAAAAACCACAGAGGCCAAATTTGTCCAGCTGGAAACTAAAGTGTACTTCACAGATACGTCTATGGTGCAAATAAGATGTGATCTCATGCTTCAGCAAATGCAAATGAAAAGCACATGGAGTTTTTTTAGCTGCACTGCAAAACAGAGACATCCGATTTCTGAACAAATCGCTTTTGTGTGTCGGATCTTTCAATTGAAACACTTAAACAGGCTCGCAAAACTGGTCTTGTACGAATTCTGACACCCTGCCAGATTCCTGTGTCTGCATCACTGGTCCCATCCCTAAAGCCCACACTAAATGTACTGGAGACTGCGGAGTCAGAATCTATTCTTGAATCAGACTACTGTAAGCAGTTTGTGCAAGGACTGTCTGAATCATGCAGAGTCAACATCTCACCAACATATTAATTGTACCAAGAATCGACATTGTAATTGACTTTCTACAATTTGTAATGACCTGAGAACCGATGAGTCAGCTGATAGCATGCATTTGGAGTGAAAATGAAGATTTGACTGAAAAGTTTTATGAGAATTAGTCTATACTACCTCACACGCACATCCCAAATGAAGTGAGCCAAAAATGTCCAAATGAGCCTTTTTTTTCTTTGTACAATAGCCTAACTATTACAAATAAAACATACTGGAAATGTACGACTTGTATTGTACTTTTAGCAACACACATAGCCTGAAATTGAATTTAGTATTTGTAATGTGAACATAAATTAGCCTATATTAAGTTTTGAATTACTTAATGTCTTATTAGCTGAAACATAGCAACAAAGTGAACGGAGACACACAAATTACAACAATGACCCTTATTTAATTAAAATTAAAAACGTCTGAGAACGCGATGAAGACAAATCACTGAATCGTTCAGTTTGAAAGAACCGATTCACGGAAATGATTCGAGCTACGTGCTCGATTGCTCTCTGACTGTGAGCCACTATGTGCTCTGACAAAAGTAAACAGTCTGGCTCGATTAGTTAGACTGCGTTTGGACGTCGTAATTCACGCAAACGCGGAAGCGACGGCTTCCACGGTGTTTTGTACACAGTGGATGTGTGGTGTTGTGCTTGACAGTCGGAATCGTAAGTTCATTTGTCTCTGGATTTGGACGCTCTTGAGACGCATGCAGCCCGGTGTGCCATGATTCCCATAGCGGTGGTGGTGTGTGTGATGGGCGGGTGGTGTACAGTGTATCTGGCGGACACGCTGCTGCGGGTAGGCGGATCTCACCAATACAACTCTTCATTACTAGAGTTAACAGAGAGTACAGAGGTGTTTGCTGCTTAAATAATGGAATCGATTGCTATTGATACTTTCTAATTTGTCAAGGACATTAGATGATAAGAGCAGCATTTTGATGTGCAATGGTACAGTGATGTAAAGTATTACGACTGTACAGAATTTGTAGCATGTTTATGTAGTATTTTAGCCTATATGTTCATTTACAAAAACGAGTAAACATGTTTGGACATTGTACAACGATGGTACTATGTTTTTTTTGGTGCAAAACATGTGCCATGTTTTTCAGGATTATACCGTGAAGCTACCATGGCTCGTAGTATGTAACTTACCATTATAATTTTAGTAACATTGCATATCTCAGTGTCATAATATTATTACCTGATGTATTACTGTACCATGGTACTGCCATGTTTTTAGTTCAGTTTTTCAGTTGCCACTTTAAAAGTTATTCTGTGTTAATTCTAAATGATTATCATAATACAGTTACTCTCACTAATGTAAGATTTTATGCAAATGTAGAAATAACTTTAGAAATAACTTGGCAACACATGGTAAACAACAGCTGTGGTAAAAACTTTTTATATATTTTTATACATATTTCTATACAGTAGCAACACTACTGTATTCTTTTTTTTAGCACACATTATTGTACCTACCTCATTATAAATCCCTATTGCATCCTAACAACTGTTTTCTCTCTCTCTCTCTCTCAGTCATCCAGTTCGGTGAAGAACCGCTATGAATCCTGGTTATCCTCGAATGGATTCACTCTCTCTCCATTCCACATTAAATGGCGCACCGGCATCTTCAACCGTCTGTTTGCCAGATGTGCTCATCTCAACCCTCGCTTTCTCTACATCTGGTATGATTTACTGTCCTCAAATCAGTTTTTTTTTTTTTTTTTTGGGCAGTGATGCTTATTATGACCTCTTTAACATTTATTGCTGTAATATGCAGAGCTGTCAGTCTTTTGTCCTTGTGATTCTGAATGAAAAAAATCGACATTTTAATATAAACTATATAATCTATATAAAGACATGTAAACCTCTCTTGCTTTACTTTGGTTTCTATCGGTGTGGCTGTTGCCATATTAAATCCACAGTGATGATATTTAATTTTTTGAGGACTTAAAGCTTTAGTCATTAAAAAATTCTTAAGCTGCTTATGATGAGAGCAGGGCATTATGGGTAACCACCCTCCCTCCCCCACACATACCCACATTTCCACAAACAATCTCCTTTTTATTTCTCAATCATCATAGTAAAAGAATGAAAAACCCGGGAGTTAAAATCTGAAATCTAAAATCTGAAAATATACCGACTTTTTTTGCATGTTGCTGTTTTAGGTTCAGTGCTGGAATGGTGTTCGGGGTTCTGGCGATGTTTGGGTCTGTGGTTCTTCTTACCAAAACATTGCTGCAGACTTTGAGTCAGATGATGGCAGAGACACCAGAAGGGTCACACGAACAGGTCTTGCAAGTGGTGGTGAGTACAGAAGAGCTCATAGGAATTAGATGATGATGGTGCATTTTGTTTTAACAGTGATGAAACCGTGAACCATCTGTGCTCAGCCTGATCATTCCAGTCATTTTTTTGTCATCAGGTGCCTGGTGTGAACCTTCCTGTCAGTCAGCTGGCCTATTTTTTCATCGCTATCTTGGTTAGCGGAGTCATACATGAGTTTGGCCATGGGGTGGCAGCACTAAGGTAAACTAATCATTTCAAAGATGCAATGTCATTTCTGTCTTAGTAGCAATGGCAAACAGTTTAACACTTACTTGTCCCACATAAAGCCAGTATATGTTAAAGTATTCTATAATAAAGAAAAAAAGAACTTTTGCAATTCCTGCAGCTTTAAGATGACTGTGTCCTAGTGGAGCAAAAACAAGATTATCTTTACAATCATACATTTAAATTCTCACAGAGTAAATCTTTAGATTTTTGCATAAATGCAAAAAATTTTGTTTGCTTTTGGAAGGGTCACTAACAGTAAATCGGTTTGTTTATAATGTCTCATAATTTAATTACGTAATAATACTTGAGTCTTCTAAAGTTTGTATGCACATTTGAGAGAGTTAGCCATTATTAAGTATTATCAGTAGTTTTGGGTCGAGCTGCTCCACCGCAAACTCAAATCTCACTCCATTTGACTAGTAAAATTCTCTGAAGTCTGCGTGTAATGTAAGTAAAGTGTTTCTTGGCTTGTTCCAAGTCTAGTTATACTAGAAAATCTGGTGTGTTCTGTTGAAAAGAAGCTTGTTTTAAATTTACGTGGAGTGCAAAAAAATTTTCTGCATGTTCTTCTCAGGGAGCAGGTGAGGTTGAATGGTTTTGGCATGTTCATGTTTGTGATTTATCCTGGAGCATTTGTGGACCTCTTCACCACACATCTGAATCTCATCTCTCCAGTCCAGCAGCTCAGAATATTCTGTGCCGGTAAGACTTTTTAAACAAGCGCAATGCCACAAATCTTGCATATGCAGTTCATAAAACATTCACTAGATAGCAGCACTTTATTATGAAACCTAACATTTTGTTTAGCAATTATTACCTCTAACAACCTTTATAAAAGTATATTACATTTTTCTACTCTCTCTGTCTTGGTGCAGGTGTATGGCACAACTTCATGCTGTGTGTTGTGGCCCTCAGCTTCCTGTTCCTGCTGCCCATCTTCATGTTTCCCTTCTATTACACTGGAGCAGGGGCGCTTGTCATTGAGGTGGTGGAGGTCAGGTCACCTTTCATCTTTAAGTTTTATATTTAGATGATGTCTTTAGTGTCTGAGATCAGTTTTTGGTTTGTTTTCACAGGGCTCCCCATCAAGTGGACCTTGTGGGCTGTTTCTAGGAGATCTGGTTACCCAGCTGGAGGACTGTACTGTCTGGGGAGTGCAGGACTGGCACAACTGCATTCAGCATCTATCCCATAATCCTCAGACGGGATACTGCGTTCACACTGCAAAGCTGCAGCTCAGTTGGACGGCTGGAAGGGGTACTGACCTGCCTTATACTCTATTGTTTAAAAGTTTGGGGACCGTAAGATGATTTTTTGAAAGGTTTTATTGCGTATAGATGCATTAAATTGATCAAAAGTGACAATAAAGATGCTTATAGTGTTACAATTTTTTTTATTTCAAATAAATTCTATTCCTTTGAACCAAAGAATCTAAAACATGGTTTCCACGAAAATATTAAGCAGTACTACCGTTTTCAACATTGATAATAAGAAATTTAAAAGCAGCAAATCAGCATATTAGAATTATTTCTAAAGGATCATATGACATGGAAGAAATGTAATGATGCTGGAAATTCAGGAATTACATTATAAAATATTTTCAAAACACTTATTTCAAAAATATTACTGTTTTTACTCTACTGCACAAGAGACTTATTTCAAAAACTTTTAAAAAATATTTTGAATGGCAGTGTAAATAGAGATGTTTGAATTCAATATTACAAATATTTGTTAGCTTATTCAGATTTTTCTTCCACTCAGCATTCAAGCGTCTCGATGGCACTATGGAGTGCTGTGGGAACAACAGCTTGACAGATCTCTGCTTCTCTTATAGTAATAATGTGGAGAGCAAATTGGTAAGACAGACAGCTTTTCTGAATAGACTCAGCATTTGGTCATTTTATACAAATTAGAACTGTTATAAAACTTATATTGGTTTATTCTGTTTGCTCCTTTTAGTATTAGCAATAAGCTCTATGGCACCTAATTGCTAAACACTGCAAACATTTTATCAATGTAATATTGTGAATATTTAAAGTGTGCTGTTGGCTCAGACAAGTCTTTGCATGTCTGAAATAGATATCTGAAAAAATATCTGAAATGAAAACACTGATCCATTTTACACTGTAGAATAAATATAATACAAAAGGAAGGGAAAATGATTTCTTGCCACCTCAGTCTTGGTGTTTTTGACACTTTAAACTATTGCTGTTTTTCCCCCATGCTAGTTTGCCTGCCTGCCGGTCAGAAAAACCATTGAAGCGAGCCGTACATGCCGTACAAACACAGACTGTCAAACAGACTTCATCCCAAGCCTGTGTTTAATCCCGTCTCTGGAGAACCAGACCAGACTGATTCGGGTCAAACACCCGCCGCAAACAGACATGCTGTTTGTTGGCTACCCTTCACACCTACAGTATTCAGGTCGGACAGATTCTGTTTTTATTTAATCAGGTTTGTGCAAACAATCTTGTTTTTAAAAATGGTCATTTCTTTATTTTTAGTGAGTCTCACCAACTTCGTTCCTCGTTTGGGCTTTCTTCATCCAGATCTGCCTGTCATGCTGGAGACTTTCTGCAAGTATCCTTCCCACACTATCAGTATTGGTCAGCAAACATAATAAATGAACCTTGAATTCTGACCAGGAGGTATTGGTTTTGTCACTGCTGTTAACTAGCCTTAACTTCCTGTGTGTTGAGATATCTGGTCTCATTATCGGGGGCCCTGGTGGTGGTAAACGCTGTCCCGTGTTTTGCGCTGGATGGCCAGTGGATGCTCACAGCGTTCCTAGAAGCTACATTGAGCTCTGTGATCCCAGAGAGGAACAACCGAGAGCTGATTGGCTTCTTTTTTCTGCTGGGGGGCAGTGCCCTTCTAGCGGCCAATGTTGCTCTGGGTCTGTGGATGGTCACAGCACGATAACATACAGCCATCTCCTCCAATCAGACTGTTTGGGGGAAATTGCTGTCTGAAGAACCTTCTTGAACTAATAGAGGAGTCAGTCGACTGGGTGGTTTTACCTTTGCTGGTAATTGCCAGAATGCCCACCCTGAGAGGGCGGCCAGAGGGTTTAGATTGCTGCTGTACTCGAGAAAACTCTTAATCAATGTGTTTTTAGGTTTGAATGGCTCCGTTATAAGCAGTAAAATAGTCTTGAAGCTGCATGATTTACACAGTGACCTCAGGACAGTGCCAACAGTGCCCTCTTTGATAAATACATGATCACATTGTGTCAAAAATGTTTATGTAAACCCAGAAATCACACTATACATAGAGGATTTGTGGGCATTACTTGCCTGTTTGGCCTCTGTCTTCCTGAAGTACATAGTCACACATAGTATGTGTAGTTTATAATTGGAGTGTCTGTAATTCAGTTTTCCGCACACCAGCTCAACCCAAACATTTACAAGTGTACTACATAAATAAAGCCAATAAAAAGACTTTATTGACCCCAGGTGAGAAATTTGGGAAGCAAGTAAAAACATAAAACAGGTGCACTGAGTAATCTATAATAATTTTGAAAAATACGTTTAAAGTCGTGTATACTTGCATTGTAATGAAGAATTGAATCATTGAAGTACAAATGGTGACAACTTTAGACCACAGAACCAGCCAAATGTTTTATTTTAACCCAATGCTAAAAATCATTTGTATGATGGCATCTGACTGTAACTGAAAATGTTTGCTGTTGCATGATGCTGCATCCACACCACTAGGTTTCAGTATACTGTTCAAGATGGTTGCCATCAACTAGAGTAGCATCAACCAAAAAACTGAGTGCACCTTAAAAACAATGTAAACTGAAAATGAAATGCATACAATGTGAACCAACAACTAACCACATTTGTATATATAGGGGACTGGACACAGCATGAAACTGTACACTACTGCAGTATTATTGAACTATAGAGTTTAGCTTTAGTTGCTAAGTAGGAGATCAAATGGCTAATCTGATTCATTTTATACAGAGTTGTATGTTCTGGAACAACTGTGAAATGTTCATGATGATAACATGCTCTGATGTGCATGGGAAGCGTTCATATCGTTTATTATCTGCATACTGTGAATATTTTCCCCAACGATTAGCCTGTGGGTTGAAAATGCACTCAAATAGAAATTATTTGTTTTTAAGGTACCATTGTACATATGTTAATAAAGGAACAAAATTTGCATAAACCTTTCTGTGTCATTGACTTATTTGTTTGTGGAGACATCAGTGCTGCTCTGAACATGTTTACTAAGTCTGATCAACCTTCTGCCTGTTTGAAACATCACATGGAAGTTCATAATGTGAATTTTATATTTGAAAATGGATTGGGAAAATTAGGATTGAAGCTATATAAAAAAGTATAATAATTCTTGCAGAACATTTTCTGCCATTAGATGGCAGTATTGTCCCATTTGAAGCTGAATTTTGAGTTTTATAAACTTAAACCTTAGGAAAGGTGTTTCATCCTATTGTTAACTTGGATATAATTTTATCATGATGTAGAGACCGCATTTCCTTTTTAGAAGCATCTTTCCACAGTGACTGACCAGCTGCCAATCAGGCTGGAAATGATGTGAGGACATTTTGAGAAAAAGACATGAAGAGGAGTGCTAAATTGAAGTGATAGACATCTGTGATAGTCTGAAAATGGTTGGAGTGGAGTGGGTGTTGTCAGGACTGTAAGAAAATGAGCTGCGTATTTAAGAAGGTATTGAAGTTCTCGGTGAGAAGGATAGTTATTTTATGGCAATGGAAATGTGACGTCTTGGTTCATCTGTTGTCAGAAAAGGTGTCACAGATAAGGGTGTAGCACATTTGTTGGCTAATGGACACTGCTACTTTGTTGAATGCGTGTGTGTTGTCGTTCTCAAGGACATCAGAATGTGGATTGATCTCAAAGTTGGTGGCTGTCAGCGAGTTAATGGCTTCTGCATGTCTCTTTTCCCCTGCTGCAAGGCTCTATGGGAAAATGTTAGCAATTATGTGGTCAGCTTGCCAACATTTGTTGTCTCCAACCAAATATATTTGAACTTACATAACTTTGAGGTTTTTCCTGCTTCACTTTTTACAATGTTCATACCCAGAGTTTCTCTTGAAGGATCATTCCATAGGAATCTTGGCTCGTTCTTAGACAACCTGCATGATCTGCAAACATTATTGCACTTTTCATACTGTATCGATTGCTATGATCAGACATGTGATCTGTGTTTTATTTATTTATTTTGTTTGATAGGAAGAAGCTTCGATCCATGGAAAATATCTAATGCGTGGCTTAGAACATAGTGAGGAGAGCGACTGACTGATATGAAAAGCAAACAACTGAACACACTTTGAGAAAGGGACAGAAGTTCATGGGTCAGGCTGCAGTTTTCCCTCAGGTCCTTCAGTCAGTCATTATGTTTATGCTCCAGCATTTTTTACTTTTATGATTTTGGTTAGTATCTGAATCACATGGTATCTGATTATTGAAGATCTTCATCAACCTGATATCTGATGTCTTCACATCTGAGATGTGACTCCATTTAGTCATTTTGTTAAATGTTTCCTGATGGATGTGTAGAGCACATCCGTCCATCAGTTTGTCCTTTGTTCTCGTTTGAGGGTTGCATCTTTTGACTTTATGTGTCTCAGATGTACTGCTATAATTAGCTTTTGTTGTGCATGGTTTTGTTTTGTTTTTTGTAGTTTTTTGGCTCATTTCCTCAGAAGAAGGGTGTGTTGAGGTTGCATTCAGAACGTGCCCCCAAATATATCAAAACTTAATTTTTGATTAGTAATATGCATTGCTAAGAACTTCATTTGGACAACTTTAAAGGCGATTTTCTCAGTATTTTGATTTTTTTGCACCCTCAGATTCCAGATTTTCAAATAGTTGTATCTCAGCCAAATATTGTCCTATCCTAACAAACCATACATCAATGGAAAATTTACCCTTATGACTGGTTTTGTGGTCCAGGGTCACATATATATATATACGGAACTGTATCAGGAGAATGAGATCTGAATTATTGTACATGCATCCTTCATTGCTGTTTTATTTTATTTATTTATTTATTCATTCATTTTTAATGCCTCCCTAATCTTTTAATCCAGGGTAATTTTTCCATGGAAGTAATACTGACATATTATTTTTGGGAATACATAACTCAAGTCAAAGCACAAACTACGTATCTTAACGGTCATTGTGACTTGAATCTTAGTTTCATTTAAAACGTAATATTTTAATATTTTACTATTTATTCATAAACTACATAATTTCATATATATAAAAATAATAATTATTATTATATATATATTATCTTTATATACAAAATTATTATTTATATACATATATTTTTGATTATTTATATATTAATTACTATTTGTTAAAGTACAAAGGATGCACATATTTCATTAGTTATCATGACTTGAATATTTTGTTATTAAAATGTATTAGTAATATATATATACTGTACATATATTTTAAAAAATTTATAGAAATTAATACACTATTTATTTATAATTTGTTTGTTCCTTTTTATGACTTGTTAAACCAGCATTTTGAAAGGTGCTTGTGTGTTTTAGGCATTGTGAGCTTGTGTCATAGTGAGCTTGTAATGTGATTCACAAGCTCAGACAATGTTCAGACACCATGAAGGAGACAGACACTTTTTTTCCCTGTTCTTTTTTTCTGTATCAGGACAATATCAGTGTGTACATTTTCTATGAAGATAAGTCTGTTACAGGTACAGGATGTGCATGTTTGGTGGTATTTGAGCAAGGCGAGTTTGTTCTTAGTTTATGTACTTGGGAACAAAAAACACTGGGAGTCTCAGGTTTTGTTTCATTTGGATATACTACTATTAGAAAAAAACAAGTGTTGACATAAATATCCCTACTGGTGCTTGTGTAATAGAAAGGTGTTTATTCCAGGTGACTTGTCTGTTCACACAAAATTCATTAAACATATCATTAGACAGCTATTTTAGTGAATGTAAAAGCCACATATAGGTAATGACCCATGTTTTTGCTGTGGGCCTGTGGTTAACAGAGGCACCAAAAATCTCAAGTTGTCACATCTGTTTTTTTTCTTTTGTACAGCAAAGGCAGCTGTATGATTGATAGGAGTGCTTATTTCTACCATAATACTCTAAATTGAAGGTTTGCTCTGATAAATGTCACAGTAAGCTTGGCTTCATACAGTATGCTAAGTTTGGGAAACAGAGACCGCAATTATCTGGAGGGTATGACCAAGTTAGACAAATCACAACAACACTGTTTTGTGAATATTTCTGCTGGCATTTACAAACTGTAAGTTGACTGATAGTTACTGCAATTTGATTTATTTTTTTACTGATATTGCTAATGGTCATAACATTAGGCACCACTATCATTAG